TATACAATATGAACCCTTATGCCTCTATTTATAGTGTAACATAGAGGCATACAAAAGGTTAGTCATAAACATGACATTAACATGAATATAATGGAGGAGGTTATGGAAGTGAAAGGTTACAAGAATAATGGTGTTATAAAGTTGGAGGTTATGGTTATCTTCATAATGGAGGAAAGTAATAGAGATAATGGGTGAGAGTAACTTCTTGGTGTAGTGGACATCCACACTATAATATTTTATAACAACATATATAACCAAAGTAATAATATTTAATCCCTTAAATATACTTTCTAATATAAATCATAAGTAAAATTTAAAATACAATACTTATAAGTATACCTATTATAGATGTAATTCAAACATAAAATATAAACGTAATCATCATGAAAGACAATAACCAAAAAGGGACAAAAGTGGTTAACTCCAACACATAAATAAAATTCGGTTTTTTTTGGTTTTTCGGTTTTTAAAAAAAAATCCGAAACCAAACCAAAAAACCAAACAAAGTAATTTATTAATCCAAAACCAATCCGAAAAACCAAAAAACCAATCCAAATAAAAATTCGGTTTGATTTGGTTTAGTTATTCGGTTTAATCCAAATAGTGCACACCCCTACTTTAAAGTCGATATTAATTCGACATCATCATCAAATAAAAAAACAAATGGAGATAATGAAGAACAAGATGAAAGGATGGCGTGAAACACTCACATCCACTAAAATATTTCTTTTTATATTACACTTATTAAGGCTAAACTCTTCCTTTTTTAATTTGTGGCCAGGGTCAAATGCTTCAAAGTTTAGCCACAATTTTAAATGAGTTATACAGCTACAAAAATTGACAAACAAAAGGTTGAAATAATATTGCGGAAAATAGATATTCACGCGCTCTCTGCTCACGCGAATCCCATTAATTTGGAATCTATGCTCTTCCTCTGCCACAAAATTAAGATAAGTCTTTTGTTATTTATGTTGTGTCATTATCTTGATAATGATGCTTACCGTTCGTTCAGTATAACTAATTATTATTATTAAGTGATAAGAGATACGTAGTAATTAATTTTGAGATTAGTTGTATATAAATTTATTTATATTTAATTAGAATAAATTGTAGTGTTATTTTTATTTCATGTTCAAAGTGAAATAACAATTCTGAAATAACTAATCTTGAAATAACTTGTTCCTCAACCAAAAAAGATCGTTGTTTGGACAAAACCCAAACCTTGTTTCCACTTTAATTATATTTTTCTTTTTCCATTTATCCTAAATACTTTATTTTTATAAAAATAACCCCATCAAATTATGTTTCATGTTTAAATCATATTTCATATTTTTTTAAATACTTGCAAACAATTAACAATTATTTATATAAATAATAACCAAACACAACTCTATATTCAACTCAAATTAAAAAATATATTTGTGATATCATGTAATAGGTCGTATATGGAATCTAACCTATGACATTATGTGATTATTTAATTTTAGATATGATCCTTGCAGAACAAATTAAATTGCATGTTTAAAGTAAATTAATTGAGTCAAGTGATTTTATTAACTTTTTAAAATTGGAGATATAAAACATATTTTATAAAAATACATTTTAATTTTAAATATTCTTTAGGAAAAGTATGGTAAAAAACAATTCCATCTCCAACTTCAATTTTAAAATTCTAAAACAAGTGAATATTTTTTTTATTTTCATACTAAATGAATAAGGTTTTTGTTTTTTAGATTAGAATATAAAAAGTGGTTTGAATGAGAAAAGCCCTCCCCCACCTTTTGTTGAAAAAAAAATAAAGTTCCCCTCTTTGGTTAGCCGTGATTTCACGCGCTTCTTTGCGGATAGGTTTTGGTTGCACAGCGTAGACCTCAAATGACGTTGCATCGCCGCAAATCATCAACACATACCATACTTTTCCTAGTGACTCTTTCTATTTTGTTAAAGCATTAACAAATTTGATAAAAAATAATAAAAATGCATTAACAATATGTATAGCATTGAAAAATATTAGTACGAAAAATGAATGATCAAATGGGCTAGTAATTTTATCTGTCACAAAAATAAGATAAAGATGATATCGAAAAAAGTATAGTTTTATTAATAAAGGCTACTTGTGAAAAAATTTGAAATTATATAGTATGAGTTTCTTTGAAGATGTACATATTTTATATATTTCTAGATCTTTAAATATGCTATTGGTCTTGAATTTGAGTCTTCTGGTATTAAATTACTTTTGATAGGAAGCATTCTACTTCACAATGTGAGAGTTTTATGTGAATATCCAACGGTGAGAAATCAATAAAAAAAAGAAATCTGAATTTAGTTAGATTCAATATCGGACATCGGCTTGAAAATCAATAAAAAAATATGGTACTAAACGATCTAAGCTAAGTTTTCTTTTAATTCTTTTAGACTGTAATAATATTTAATCTGTTAAGACCATTTATTTTTAATATATACATAAATATGGTAAGGTTATTTGTGGCAAAAAAAATTAAAATATCTAATTTATTTTTAAAAATTATATTACAAATATCATTAAACAATACAACTAATATTTACATTAGATATCATAAATTATTAAAAATTATAGTAATATTTTTAAATTAAAAAAAGTAGGTAGCTTAGTGATGAGAATACTTGTCAACTATTTTTCTCTATAGAACTCAACATATACGCTATACCAAACAGAGGCTTCTACTCTTCTGTTGCTCCATCTTCTTCTTTACCTCACTTTTTTAAAAATAAAAACAACAAATAATTCACCTGAAGAAAAAAAAAAGTTAACTTTTGCTAGAAAAAATTCACCGATGCAACGTGGAACTGCCGGAGCCGGAGGAGGTGGACTTTCCCGTTTCCGTTCAGCTCCGGCGACATGGTTAGAAGCACTACTTGAGTCCGACACTGAGAACGAAGTTATTCTTAACCCTTCTTCTACCATTTTACACACTCCCAATAAACCACCACCTCACCCATCAACTCCGAAGCTTCCGGAGCTTAAACTGGAAACCGGCGGAGCTACTAGGTTCACTGGCGATCCGGGTCTGTTTGAATCCGGTGGTAGTAGCAATTTTCTCAGGCAGAACAGTTCTCCGGCGGAGTTTCTTTCACATATAAGCTCTGATGGTTACTTCTCAAACTATGGAATTCCGTCCAGTTTGGACTATCTTTCTCCATCCGTTGATGTTTCGCAGTCCGCTAAGCGAACCCGAGACGGTGATTCCGAAAGTTCGCCCAGAAAATTAGCATCCCAGTTGGTTAGTATAAGTTCAACAACTTACCCAAAATTAGTTTGAATTTTTATTATCCATGAATGGGGGGTTATTATTTTTTCTTGAGATTGTTTTGGGGTTGGGGGGTTGGGGTGACTTGAACCCAGGATCTCTGTCTGCTTGGATGTATTTCAAGAATTTTATGCTAATCATTTGGATTTTAGTTCATTTAATGTGTTCTATTGAAGAGCTATTACTAATTGTTTTGATCTTTTTGTGTTTTCCTTCACAACTTTTGCTTGAAGTTTTTATATGTCAAAGTTAATTCAATCTTGAAAAGTAATGATTTTTACTTGTAAATGAACACTGTCTTGATTATTCATCTTATCCGAGATGGACTAGATGAATTGACTTTCCTTATAAAGGTTTGACTACACTTTGTATTGTGTTTTATGTCTATCTAATGAGATGATTGTGTTGTCTGAAAGACAGTCAGGGAGTCTTACATATATTGGTGTTCCTCTATGTCTCTTTTCTTTTTATTATTTCTGTCCGGATTTGATCTTCAAGTCTTTTGGTTGTTGTACAAATATAACCTATGCTGAAAGATCAATATATAAGGATAATATGAAATCATTACTCCTAGTTAATGACACTAACAGCCAATAATTG